TCCCAGACCCGGGGGCGTAAACTCACACCGGGTGCATGTGTGTGCGTGCCCAAGATCCCGAGAGGAGAATAGAGGAGAAGGGATTGAGGCATGGCTATCCCCCACCCCCGGGGGATTTCTCACTTTCTGTCTCTCTGTCTCTCTTTCTTGTCTTTCTGGCTAGCGCACGCTCGCTATGGCAAAAACCTCTCCAAAAAAAAACAAAAGACATGTTATGGAAAAGGTTTGTTGTAACATTGTTAATACTAGTCAGAAGTTGATAATATGATAAATGTTTATTACTATAAGCAGTGTAATTAATTGGTACATTGGCTTGCTAGATCATTTTGTAACCCCTAATGATAATGTAAGTTCAGGTACTCCAATTTCCTGAAAAAATGATTCTGTTAGAAGGTTATATGGAAAAAAGATAATGTAAAATTGTTAGTATCAAAAAGACTCAAATACTTAAGAATGAGACATTCAGTGTTCATGAACTTAAAAACTTAATATTGTTAAAATAAGAATTCTACTTGAAATAATCAACAGGTTAAGGTAATCACTATCGAGTCCTCCAGTGTTTTTAATAGAGATAGAAAAGCCCACTCTAAAATCTGCGTGAAATTTCAGGATACCCCAAATGACCAAAAGTAGTCTTTATTTAAAAGGAAAAACCAAATTGGAGAACTCTTACATCCAGATTTTGAAACTTAATACAAAGCTACCATAATTAAAACAGTGTGCTCACTGGTGTGATATATATCTAGATCAACAGAATAGAACAGAGCACAGAAATAAACATATATATAGTCGGTAGTTTTTGACAAGAGTGCCAAGACTATTCAATAGGGGAAGATAGTCTTTTCAACAAAAAGGGCTGGTAGAACTGGTATCTGCATACAAAACAATGAAGTTGTACCCTGATCTTACACCACATACAAAATGCATGAGGCATCTGTGCACACAGCTATGTGAGAGCCAGTGGACTAGAGGACTAGATAGAGGGGGTCATAGCATGACTAGAACCCCGCCCCCACTCCCGTGCATGCACACACACATGCATGCTCTTTTATAAATAAAGACCAAGCTTTTTTACACTAACAAGGCAAAAAGAGGGACCAAAGATCTATGTGTAAGAACTAAAGGTATAGAATTCATACAAGAAAACCTAGGAGAAAAATCTTTCTTTCTTTTTAATGTTTTATTGCCAGAGAACGTGTACATGCACATTTGCCAGAGAGAGATAAACAAAGGAAGAGGGACAGACACCTCTCCCATAGAAAGTTGTCACGCCACAATCCCTTTCCTTCCATCTTTCTATCCTGTTGGCATTGAGAGCATGCACACACACACACTGGCATGTTCTTTCTTTTAATTTTTTCATTTGCCACAGGCCACACTTGCTTGCCAGAGAGAGACAGACGTGGAAAAAGAGAACAGAAAAGAGAAAAAGTGAGAAAGCACCCCTGATGGGATAGCATACCACAATCCCTTTTTCAGCCTTCTCTTGGAATTTTGGGCACACACACACCCACACACACACACACACACATATTTGTACCCTGCTTTTTTCTCAAGCTGCTAGGTCCAGAACTTGAACTTTATAGTCAGCCATACGGAATCCAGCTGCCTTAACCACCACGCCATTGTCTACCCCTCCCCCCAAGCATGTTTTTGAAGCCACCATGCCAGGACTTGAACCACAGTCACCCATGTGGGGCCTAGCTCCCTTAACCACTATGCTATCTAGTTGGCCTAGAGAAACTGTTCATGACTTTGAATTTGTAATTTTGTTTCTTCAAAAGGACAAGTGTATGCATGCACATGTGTGAGAACACGTGCACATGTGAAAGAATTGGGTGGTTGGAAAAGTCATGATGCATTTTTCTGTGTAAAGTCACGTCACGACTTTTCCACTGACCCAGTAGATAAATTGGGCCCAGCCAATGATGTGGTGGTTGTCATGGCTAGAGCCCATGTGGCTCACTGCATAGTTTGGGTCTCAGACCTGGTGGCTTGAGAAGCACACCAGGTGCGTGTGTGCGCATGCCCAGAATCGCAAGAGGAGAATGTAGGAGAGGAGATTGCAGCATGGCCATTCCTCCCAGAGAGTATTTTGTCATTTTCTCTCTCTCTTTCCCACTCTGTCTCTCTTTCTCTGGTGAGCCCACACAAGCTGTGACAAAAATGTTGTAAGTCAATAAATTGGACTTTTAAAAAAATTGTATATCGGCCACCCCCGGGGACCCCGCGCCGAGCGCCCGAGGCGGCAAAAAAATGAAAAAAAAATTGTATATCAAAGGACATTATCAAGAGAGAAAAAAGACAACCCACAAAATGGGAGAAAATATTTGCTAATTATATATCTAATAAGGATTTATCAAAACATATAAAGAACTCCTACAACTCAACAACAACTAACCAGTTAAAATATAGGAAAAAAGACTTTAGAAGACATTTCACCAAGGGAGAACCTACAAATGGCCAATGTGCACATGAAAAATGGGTTGGCCAGGATAGGTAGAAATTGTAACCAAGCACATTGCTGATAGAAAGGTAAATGGTATAGCTGTTGTGGAAACCAGTTGGTCATTCCTTAAATTTAAATACTGAATTACCATATAATCCAGCATGTGTGTTTTACTCCCAGACCCAGGCAACTTAAACTCATACCGGGAGTGTGTGTGTGTGTTCCCAAGATCCCAAGGAGAGAATGTTCCCAAGATCCCGAGGAGAGAATGGAGGAGAAGGGATTGGATTGTGGCATGGCCATCCCCCCCGGGGGGGTGATTTCTTGCTTTCTATCTCTCTGTCTCTCTTTGTCTTTCCAGCAAGCACACATGCAGTATAGAAAAAAAAAAAAAAAAAAACTCTCTTAAAAAAATAAAAGAAGAAGAAATTAAGTTCTGGTACATGTTTTGACATTGATGAACCTTGCACACATTATGCTAAGTGAAATAAGCTGACATAAAAGGATATTATTGTTTAGTTCCACTTTTATGAGGTATCAAGAATGGCCAAATTCAGTCAGAAAGTAAAATAGAGGTTTCCAGGTCCTAAGGAGAGAAGGAAATGGGGAATTTTTGTTTAATGGTTTCAGAGTTTCTCTTTATCTTGATGATAAAGTTCTGTAAGGGGAGAGTAGTGATGGTCACACAACATTGTGAATGTACTTAATATCACTGAATTGTACACTTTATTAAAATGATTTTTTTAGTATTTATATGTCAATGATAGTTTTAATTTTTTTAAATAATACAGTACATAGTGATTCAGATTCATGGATTGTGTATTTTAAAAGCAAAATATTGGGAATATCAGATGGCATTATGGTTACATCTTTGGACTCCCACATAGTCAACCATGGTTCAAGTCCTGGACTCAGCAGCTTCAAACTCATGCCAAGCACATGTGCATATATTCAAAAATCCCAAGAGGAGAATGGAGGAGAAAGGATTATGGCATGACCATTCTCCCCACCCCCGCCAGGGGTGATTTCTCACTTTCTGTCTCTCCGTCTCTCTCTCCAGTGAGCACACACACTCTGAAGCAAAAACTCTCCAAAAAAAGTAAGAAATTACTAGGTTATGTGAATAATTTGAAAAGAAGTACAAGAGGACTTTAAAATGTTTTGGGGAAGATGGAAGTAATATACAAGTTTATCTTCATGCAAAATCATTTTGAAATCCATGCATTTTTTTAAAAGAGATTATTTTTTGCTATAGAGCATATGTGCTTGCCGAAGAGACAGAGAATGAGAAATAACTACCCCAAGGGAGATGGCCATGCCACAGTCTCTTATCCTCCATTCTCCTCTCAGGATTTTGGGCACACACACACACACACACACACACGCATGTCTTGTGTGAGTTTTAGGCTGCCTGGTCCGGAACTCAAACCGCAGTCAACTACGTGGACCTCCAGTGACGTAACCATTACGCCATCTGCTGGTCCCAGCATAGTTTTTTTCTAACACTACTTTTTTAAAAAGCACTTTGTTAATTTTAGAGTGTATTTATTTATTTTTTCCATGAGTCAAACAGAGACTGCACCTCAGTAGGGTCTCAATACCACTGTTAGCACCAGCCAGTCCTGGATCCATGGTGTACACCTACTCAGTGTACTCAGGGAGGCCTCCAAAGACCAACCCAGAATTCTCCCACTGTTGGTCCCCCCCATGTGGGTCAGTCTTAGAGAATGCTGCATTTTACTGCTGTACCACAGTCCAGTCCCAATATAATACACATTTTCCACAAAACTTTCTGAAGCACTTTCATAAAGTTCAAACAAAAGATTTCCATTTTTGGGAACCAGCAGTTAGCATAATAGCTATGTCGCTGGACTCCCACGTAGTCGACCGCGGTTCGCGTCCCAGACCCGGTGGCTTAAAACTCATGCCAGGTGCGTGTGCATGCGTGCCCAAGATCCCAAGAGGAGAATGGAAGAGAAGGGATTGTGGTGTGACCATCCCCCCTGGGGGGTGATTTCTCGCTTTCTGTCTCTATGTCTCTCTCTGTCTGTCTGGCGAGCTCACACACCCTATAGCGAAAACCTCTCCAAAAAAAAAAAAGATTTCCATTTTTAACTAATGGGTTGTCATTAAATGACCTATTTTATGTCACATTCCAAGTGCATTATAGGGCACATGGACTTGCCAGAAAGAAACAAGAAGAGAGGGTGAGGGAAAGTGAGAAATCACCTCCCTGGGGGATGACCATGCTGCAGTCCCTTCTCCATTCTCCTCTTGGGATTTTGGCACACACACACATGTGCCTGGTGGGTTTTTCTAGCTGCTAGATCCAGGACTTGAAACTCACAGTTGGCCATGTGAAACCCAGCTTCCTTAACCTCCATGCCACCTGTTGACCTGATTAATCCTTATTAAACCCCTCAAAAATTTAAATAGAAAAAACTCATCAGAATTCTTTGTGTAGGTGGAATTTGTACTCTGTACTAGAGAGTTTTCATTTTTAGCTTGTTGTCACATTTTTTATATTTTAATGAAACTTGTGTTTCTTTAGCTTGACAGGGCCAATTCATTGTTAAACCAGACTCAACAACCTTACCGATACCTGATTGAATCAGTGCGTCAGAGAGATTCTAAGATTGATTCGCTGACAGAATGCATTGCACAACTTGAGAAAGATGTGAGGTAAACCATCTATAAATCTTTTATTTGAATATTAATACTGAAAATATAATGCTCCTACAGATGAATTTGGGTTATAAATTTTGAAAAAAATATATAAATAATGAAAGTAGTCTTAAGTGTAATGAGCAGTAAACATTTCAGAAAAAATCAGTCCCATCATATCAGGTGTTCATGTTTCACCTTATGATCAGAAGTCTTAACATGAAAATAACGCTGCTCTGCTTGTTAACAAAATGATCCTCCCGAGGAAAGCTAAAGGCTGCCCTGTCCTTACTCCCCAAGAATTCTTTAGTGGGATGTAGGTTAACCAAAGGGAGAGGAAGAATATAGCCAATGTCATTGGTAGAGTTAAAATGACCTTTTAAGCGGACAAATGTACACATTTACTTCAATTCGTGTTGACTTTGCTGAGGAATTTTTAGGCTTTTCTTCCCCTGACCATTTATGTGAAAGTAAGCCATGAACTATTTCAGTGTAAATAAATAAATTCCTTTCACTTCCTTAGTTTGAGATTGTTCTGTTGAAGACCTTATCAAAAAGACTTGCTCCATTTAGTAGTCACTCACATTCTTGTCCATTTATCGGTATATCATCTTACTTTTTAAATAGAAATAAAAGAATGATGCTATGTACAAAGGAAGAGCTTTTTAACTCCTGAATGATATATAGTAGACTTAGCTATCATATATTAGGATTATCAGACTAATTTATGTCTTTATGATTAAATTATTAGCTGATCATAAATGTAGAAAAAGATAATTAGGTGGGAGTGAAATTCATACATTAATGAATTAGAAAACAACAAGAAGATAGTTATTAAATCAGGTATCCTGAAATACAGAGCCAAAAATATAAAACTACTGGGTAATTAACTCCAAAGTATGAGTATTCTTTTTGATGATTCAAAATAATGATCTTTTCCTCTAATTACCACTCCACAAAATAATTGGTCCAGAACATTACTCCTGGTCTTAATTTTAAAATCAAAGGTATGCTTTAAATGTCAAAATAAATTATAATTTATTTCTAGATTAACTTTGAACTTAAAAATTACATATATAATATATATAGCCAGCAATAGCTATTGGGTATAAATATTTGAAATTTTTATTATAGCTTTGCTTTATCTTTATAGCATTCACAATGAAGGATGCATAAAAATCCTGAGAAAAAGAAATTGCTTCTTTCCCAATTATCTTCAAATAAATTTGTTTGAATATTTATTTAACAATTAAGAGTACTGAAAATGTTAAATATAGAGAAAAGTAGTAGGTAGCTGTAGGAGAAATTATAAAGATGAACAAATTCAGCCCCAGAAGCTTCTGAGAACACACAGCTTTGTGGTAGAATCAAAATTTGAATTCATGTCTTCCTGCTTTCTAATTCTGTAGTCTTAACCATTATGTTATACTGCCTCCCTATGTTCTATTCTGGATGAGGTACATTTTTCTATTAACTAAAATAAGGAAGAGAAGCAAAAAAAAAAAAAAAGTGTATCACAGTGGTTAAAAGTAGAATTTCAGGGGCCAGCAGATGTCATAATGGGTATGTCACTGGACTCCCGTGTAGTCATCTGGTGTGTCCCCCAGACGCAGCGACTTAAAACTCACCAGACATGTGTGTGCATACCCAAAATCCTGAGAGGAGAAGGGATTGCAGCGTGGCCACAGTCACTGGAGGAGTGATTTCTGGCTTTCTGTCTCTCTTTCTCTCTAGTGAGCACATGCACCCTATAGCAAAAATCTCTCTTTTTTTTTTTGGGGGGACAATGCACCCTATAGGAAAAATCTCTCTTTTTTTTTTTTTTAAAAAAAAGGAGGACTTCAATGAGTTATCCATTATAGTAGCTAGGTAACAGATACATGGGTTTTTCTACTATTTTCCTCTTGAAATATTCTTTGATCAAGTTTTATTTTAATTTTTAACAAGGAATACAGGTTCTATAGGTAGGTTGTATGAGTTCAAATCCAACTTCACCTAGTTTTGAATTGGAGCAAGCATTATACATTTAAACTCTCTCAACCTCCATTATCCAGTACAACTTTCTGTAATAACAATATTCTGTATCTCTACTGTTTGGTATGGTAGCCACTAGCCAGCCACATGTGGTGGTTGAGCATTTGAAATGTGGTTATTGTTGGTACCAGCAATTGCATAATAGCTATGTCGTTGGACTCCCATGTAGTCGGCTGCAGTTCGAGTCCCAGACCCAGGGGCTTAAACTCACACCAGGCTCATGTGTGTACATGCCCAAGATCCCGAGAGGAGAATGGAGGAGAAGGGATTGCGGCATGGCCATCCCCCCTGGGGGGTGATTTCTCGCTTTCTGTCTCTTTGCCTTTCTCTGTCTTTCTGGCGAATGCACATGCCCTGTAGCAAAAGAACCTCTCCAAATAAAAAGAAAAGAAAAGTGGTTAGTGTTACTGAGGAACTAAATTTTTTATTTCATTTAAGCTAAATTAGTTTCCATTCTCATTGCCCTTTAATGGCTGCAGTTTTAGACAGCACAGCTAGTTTCCTCATCTGTGAAATGAGAGTGATGCTCACAGCACCTAAGTGATACAGTTGTGCTGAGGACTAAATGATGAATTTTCTCAATATACATAGCATAGTGTCTAAACATTTTAAATGCTCAATAAGTGTTTGTTATTGTTAGTATATATCTTATATAAAACAAATGTTGTGTTGAACATTATCTTACAAATGAGAACATTTCTCAATCTATGTTTAATTTGGACAAAAATTGACTCCCATATTAATGATGACAACAATTATAAAAGCTTTGCCAATTATAGAATTAACTATCAATATATTTTGTTCTAAACATCTGAATCCTTTAATGCTGTCTTGTGTTTCATTGTATGATATTTTAGTAGATTCTGAACTGATAATTTCATAACATAGGAAATATTATTCTTAATTAAAATAACTACTGTTTTTTAGAATTATTTTATTGTACTTTTTTTTTGCTTATTTCTTTTTTATTTGACCAGAGGGACAGAGTGAGTGCGAGAGAGAGAGATGGGGGAAGGGATGAGAAAGCAAGCTGCCAGGTCCAGGAATCAAACCTCGATCAGCCATGTGAGAGTCTAACACCCTTAACCACCATGCCACCTGCCAGCCCCAAAATAACTACTTTCTAATGTGAAAAATTAAGGTGTTTTCAATATTTTAATTGTAGTATTTGACATGCTGCTGTAGGTATGCTCTGGTTACATGAAAAAAATGTTGCGATGTGACAATGACATATTAAAAGTTGACTCAGGCCAGCAGGTCGTATGGTGGTTAAGGCACAGGTTCAACTACAGTTTGAGTCCCAGACCTGGTGGCTTTCTTTCTCACCCTTTTTCTCTCTCTCTCTCTCTCTCTCTCTCTCTCTCTTTTTCTCTCTCTCTCATGAGCACACATACTCTATAGCAAATCTTTAAAAATAATGATAAATATTTTTTTAAGTTGGCTCAGCCAACATGTCAGATAATACTAGGATAGATCATAGTTTGTACACACACAGTTCAAACCTATAGTGAATATCCTGAACTTTACATATAAATCTGATATCTTTTCTCATGGTCAGTGTTTCTATAAAATATAGACATTAATGCGATCTTATAGGGTAGTTGAAAAAATGAAACACAGGGAGACGAAGACTCCACATGGCTCCTGCGAACTAGCTATTTCAGGGCACACGAGAAATGAAGATTTTCTACTGATAATTCAGCCTCTAGCAAACGAGCTAGTGGCAGGAGAGGCCAGACCTTCAGAAGAAGATTCCATATGGCTCCTGTGAACTAGCGATCACAACAGAATGGCAAAGAGATTCTAAATCACCTCTGTCTGCTTGCTCCTGAACATTCAGACTGAACTTCAAGAATCTGAAAGGAACACACCATCCATCAGATGACAAGAAATCACCGCCGGATCACAAGAAATGTGGGAAAACAAGAAAATACCTCTCCTCCAAGGGAAAAGAGTAACTCTACTTCATCCACAAGCAGTTCGGTGAAAATCATGAAAATGTCTGATAAGGAATTTAGAGCATTCATAATGTCAAAGCTAACAGAGATGGAAGAGAAGAGAGATAATGAACTGCTAAAGAGGAAGGAGAAAGAAGTTGACGAGTTCCAGGAGATGAGGGAATTCTTGCAAGATCTAAAAGAGGAATTACACACTTTACAAAAGACTCAAACGGAAATGTTAGAGATGAAGTCTATAATACAGGAAATCAAAAGCTCCCTTGAAAGTATTAAAAGCAGACTAGATCATTCAGAAAATAGAATCTCAGATGTAGAAGAGAAAATGGCTGGCCTAGAAAAATCCACCACGAAGACTGAGAAAATGGCCAAAAAATTTGAAAATAATGTACGAGAAGTACTAGATACCATCAAACATCCAAACATCCAGATAATTGGCATTCCAGAAGGTGAAGAGACCCATAAGGGCATTGATAATCTATTCCAT